ATACCCATGTTGAATTATTTCAGAAACAACGTAATAGAATCGTATGGAAGTTATCGGAAAAAATTTACTACATTAGTCAGAAGCTCACGAAATATCTTGTCGATTGAAATGGTGTGTGCAATATTTTAAACGGCAGCCAATCATCATATTATCACAAAAATAAATCCGAATTAAAATCGTGAAAAGTTTGTAAGTAAAAAAATTTCATAGGGATGATTATTAATGGAYGATTGATTTCCAACTCACACCCCAACTACATATTTTTTTTTATTCTGCTAAGAAATTTTGTCTTCCCATTTAWAGCTTTTGTGTTTGCATTAAATTAAGAGTCATACAGACACCAGCTGTTTGGTAGGAATCATTGTTTTTTTTAATCACCGCACGAGGTGTAGACAGCACCACGGTGGATGCCGTTGGCTAATCCAACCCGTACTGCCTATGGCCACCACATCCGACACTGTTTGTTATACCGACACAATGTCGTGAATRCTGGKGATATTTATCAACTTTATATATTAAGCAGACGTGTCGGCGACACGACTGGGAAGACGGTGGTGTAGCAGTTCGTGGTTTAGTCGTCGACACCCGAAAACAGTAGAGGCAAACAACCAGAGGGCGCAGTGTTTATGTACGCCGTCCGTATAAATACTATAGTTGCTACCATAAAAAAAAGAATTTTGTAACATTTTTTCAAAAAAAAAACAGTTTCGTATTTTTCGATTCTATTTTCCTGAAATTTATTTCTGCGGTCTCGCCATATAGATTTAGAATCTCACCATTTTATTTGCCGCGTTATCCTTATAGTAGGGCTTATTGTATCACAATATTAGGTAAGTCCCCTATATAGTGTTAGATTCTTCTCTTGATTTTTTCTTTTTTGTCTTACATTATTAGCCGTGAGATACTAAAACATTTATTATTAGGCACACAATAYCTATGGATTTTAAATTGATAGTTATGAGGTTATGACTTATACCGCATTGGCGATATACTCATGCCATAGCAGATGKCACAAGTCTCTCTTGGTATAGGCGGGAGTAGGAAACACGTGTCATCATTCACTGATATTAATTTACGACAGCAAATTTCTTATTTAATAAAAACATATTTAGTTAGAGGTTAGGTTAGAGAACCGAGTTTCAAGACGAATGGATCTTCGCAGGAAAAAATGTTTTGTGTCCGTATATAATATTGCCTACATTTAGCCCC